ATTGATTGAATTGATTTTTCTCCATRTATATAATAGACTATATTATGTATAAGACTAACTGTGTACACATAGTTTTAAAATCTATAAATGAAACATCCATTGAATTATATTAAATGCATGATCAAAACGAGTTTAAATACAATTATAACTTAGTCAGGCTCTAAGCAATATTTCATTTTAAAAATGACCAGTTTTCACAAAAACAGGTTATAGATCTTAAAAAATTCGGTATTCATAAAGACGACGTCAAATTGCTGGCTGACATCATTTTTTATGGTTATTTTTTAACAAAGGTCGTCTCGTCCCAGTCCACCGTTCTCTACTACTGCTTTCATTATTTTATAATATAGGAACATTAGGAACAATACCTAACCATGTGATCTTGTTTTAACATTTAATTTTATAGTTCATCAACAAACATTTTAAGGTAAACAAAAGTATAACTACTCATTTTGTGAATTAAATACACGTAGGTAACTAATTAATTTCTATAGTTAATAGTTACAAAACTATTTGAAATATAAAAATCTCATATTTTTAACATTAAATTATGGGGAATATGTATTACAAAGTTATTTCAAGGATATTTATACCGTGGGCATGTTGTATACCTGTTGCATGTGGAACGTAATTATATTGCTAGAGGATACAACAAAAATGTTAAAAATATATTTGATAGACTGATTATCCATTGGTTATTCTGTCAATCTAGATTCAGGTAATTAGTTTCTATTAAAAACTCCACGATAGCAAGTATTGGCGTTCTCATGTTTTGTTTCTCACTTCCTAAAATTGTTAAAATTTGCTGTAAAATCTATGTATGAGCATTGATTATAAATACTAGTATTTATAATCAATGGTATGAGTTATCGAAGAAAATTTAATAAGGTTAAAATTTAAAAAATTAATCGCATGCTCTGCAATTATCATCCCGATAATGCTGTAAAATAGGTACCTATTAAATTTTTTCTCTAATAAATAATATATTTATGCTCAAAATTATAATGTATCAGTTGTTTATCTTGCGAGTGGAGTCGCTCTACTGGAGCGTATTTTTTTTTATATTTTATTTTATATATTTATTGGTTGTTTTTTGACTGAAAACCTACTTTTCTGACAGCTGAAGCTGCCAGAGAATTATCGCATATTAAGAGGATGCYATCATGATGCTGTTTAGTGTTTCCGTTTTACAAGTGCGTAACATAGCAAATTTACGCTCTGAAGATCACGTTTACCTCCATTAGTTTAAAAATTAAAATGAATTAATGACATTTAAAGGGAAGAACATTAAGAGTACGTAACAGTGGAATTTGTTGTCTCCGTCTTACCAGTGCGTAATATATCAAATGTACGCACAGCAGAACACTTGTAGCTCCTTTAGTTTAAAAATTACAGTGAATCGACCTATTATGAAACTTGATGGTAAGAACACTATCTGTGTTTGTACGTTGTTTTTTTACGATAATTCAATTTTTAAGTGAGTTATGAGCATATAATATACAGTACATTAAAAATGCTCATAACTCACTTAAAAAATTGAATTATCGTAAAAAACCAACATACAAACACAGATAATGTTCTTACCATCAAGTTTCATAATAGGTCGATTCACTGTAATTTTTAAATTAAAGGAGCTACAAGTGTTCTGCTGAGCGTAAATTTGCTATACGAGTATTATGCTCTGGTAAAACGGAGACAACAAATACCACTGTTACGTACTCTTAATTGTATTCGAGTGTTGGGTTTTTGCGATAGTTAATTTTTCAAGTGTGTTATGAGCAKTTTTAGTTTGTACGCAAAACTTGATAAAAAAATTGTTAATTAAACTCGATGAGTAGGTATTTAGTTTTAGTACTTTCATATTACTGTTTTAGTAACTAACTATATCAAAAAATTTTTTTAGAATTTATTGTTCTCCACAGAATTCCGTTGTGTGTGTGCATCATTACTATATTAATTTAAAATAGTAATAAGTTAATACAAATTATTTTTCAAAAATTTCAACCACATTTTTTTGCTTTATAGCATAAAACTACCAACAACATAATTTCGATAAATATTTAGGTTATATCATGTACCTCTAAATATATTATTGTATATTCTTTTGATCGTATCCCGTTTTGTTGAATTTATTATTAAAATGTGCTAATAATAATTAAAATTCAATTTATAAGAAATAAAATATGTATACAGTCAATACTTTATTATAATATATACGGGTAGAACGCAACATATCAAAACTAATWTTATTTTATAGGTAGGTATACAGTGGTACACTGCATTGTAATTAAATGTATATATTTAAATCAATACCACAGAAGCAAATATGTAATTAGTAATAATTAATAAAAAAAAATTACCATTTAAGATACTAATCTTTTTATTAATTATTAACAAGCATTAATCCCGTGATAAAAATATCAGTAATATAGATTTCGTCTGAACAAAAAAAGATTTAAGTAATTAAAAGAAAATAACAATAATAATAAAATTAATATCGAAAACCGTTTCAYATCGGATTACCTATCTAACTATCTAACTCATATTTTTAGACCTCATATTTTACACTAATTTAATTATTTTATATTGCAGTCGGGCCTTAAATCCTGACTAATGAAGACGAAATCCATTTAACTCATCTATTCTTAATAATTGTTATTTCAAAAGGGTCAAAGCAATTTGTCCAAGAGCAAACTTTGAAACTCAGATAAACTTATAGGTTCAACGCTCTCAACCCACAGAAGTCAGAAAGACAATTGTAAACAATTTTTAAATCCCTAAAATTATTACTTGTAGATCAATTAACATGGATTTTTTAAATATATAATGTATATTACTGTATATATTACATATTACATTTTCTAACACTAATATCGTATAGGGGCTTTTAGTATTTTTTTTTTAGCTTATAGTGTATAAAATCTAGTAAGATAGTGTCATGTATTATGCATTAATTCCTTAGTTGTTGATGCCTGATCAAGAATAAAAAAAAAAAAAAATCATAATAATAAATAACAAATGGTGGTCCTATATAAAAACAACCATTTTACTTTTGAATACATGCACGTTTTTTTTTTTTGAAAATATTATAGACTCATGGCCAAACCTCGAACGTTAATTTAAAATTTAAATAACCAACTACTTTAAAGTGATGCTGTACAAGGCGAGTTCATTGAATAATTATATTATATATAAATAATAATAATCAGATTATTATGCCTAATAGCCAATATTATACGTACACCACGACAAGACGGGATGGCTCGTGTAGTCGTGTGTTGTTTCGATAGATACCTACGCATATCTTTGTATAGTGCATGATATTATAATATAACTACTACTTGTCACAACTAAATTTTAGTATGCAAAGACCGTCTACCCACAAAGATAATAACGTCTGAATAAAAAAAAAACCCCTTAAACCACGTGGTCGTTAAATTACAATGACGTTTATTGATTATGATAATACTGTTGATATCGTTCCAAATGACTAATATCGTATGACGATGCAATATGCATTTGCATGTCGGCGGCGACACWATAATAATACTATTCACGGCATATATCAAATTATCAATAACTATTATATTTTAAGGAATTCCGATATTTCTGTGTGCTAAATTTAACAACGAATCTGTAGAGGTAGGTAAAAACCTCAGATCATTAACTACGGGTTGAAGGCAACATTATGAAGGTGACTGATATCTATTGCGCATGCGTAATCATTATAATACTAAATAAAAATATGTATTATTGCATTAYGATAATATGTGAATGTAATTACGTATTTACTATTTAGTATTTATGTGAATTCAAAATTTGTCCACAATATTTAATAATTAATATTCATATTTCATAATTCATTACAGATAGTGTTGTAGGTCGTAGGTACCTGTTTAAACTATGGCATGGTAATAATAATGCCATTTAACACTTAGTTTTATACTAATATACTCTATGTTTAATATTTAAAAAAAATATTTATAAATTATACATTTAAAAAACGGTTATTTCTAAATAATAATTGAAAAAATAACTAGAATTTTGTTTTTCGTTATCATTGTCAAAATCTCAAAATCAGTGGTGATTGCGGTTGAACCGCGCKTCTGCGCGAGATATAAATTGCGGGCTTGCACATTAGCCACAATTCACCTTAGTTATGTTGGCTTCATAGTTCATATTAAATTTAGCCTGTAGCTGTATCCATTAAATATGATCTAAGGTAAAAACTTTCGTTTACAATATTACCCATATTACAATAATAATATACTCGGSTACGATGCCACAAACGCTGACCATTTGCATAGTCAGACTTTTACAACAGGTGTTCGTTGAAGCCTGAAATGCTATATAAATATTCTTCAGWACAGTGTTTATCATAGTTTTGGTATAAAACGGCGAACAGTAATGACACTAGACGCGTGTAGTACATACTTATGCTATTAGTGTTTTCCATGATATTTTAATAATTTTATCATCATCGGGGTTTAGATTATAATCCGTAGTCTGATTGGGGAAAAAATAATGATAATGAKKGTTGTGGTGCTATAATATTATTATCATACCCGAGGCACGTCCCGGATCAGCGACACCTATACACATATATTGTGACCACTTGTATTGTATTGTATTGTGTGTRTGTGCGCGTGCATATTATTGTCAAAAACAATAATTATTAATTATCTATCACCGACACTCTGTTAATTCTATTCAATAACTCGAACTATTATACAGTACAATGTAGTCAGTGTATACTGCACAGCCGTCGCAGCGCACATCACATATCGCAACCGCCGCCGCCGCCGCCGCCGCCGCCGATACGCAAATAATGGGCGTTGAATAAAATAGTCCTTGAGCAGCGCGTAAAGATAGCACATAATATTATGTTATATATATTATAATAATAATTTAATACGCTTGTAAGCTTTTTCAATAATACTACAATATTAGACATATTATTATTATTATTATTATCATCCGAGGTTAGACGTGTGTGTGTGTGTGGCTGGATCAGCGGAAAAGGGGAAACGTGTATTAAACATTATCTGGTTTTCGATCGAACCGGTTTTATTTGATTTTTTTCTCGTGTGTGTTTATCTTTTAATTAGCTGTGACGAAATAAGAATATTTTATGGAACGTATTTCGTGCCGTGCCGCACACTGTAGATATTTCAACCATTAAACGCGCCCGACCGTCGTCCGTCCGGCTAATATTATACGCGGCGACTATTATAGCGTATGGTCGTTTAGCGTGCACGGTGTGTTCTCCGTCCCGGCCGAATACATTGCGATCCGATCGTTTATTTTTTACGCGCGTTTTACTCATTTCGTGATAGTGTTGCGTTCGTGTGCCGCCACGACCCGTCGTCATTAAACTCGGCCCTATCACAAACATCAATAATCATTGTACAACGATGATTTGTCAATTATAATTAATTAATTATCTCTCTCTCGTGGTGTACGGTGCGTTGAAAAAGAAAAAACTTTAATCGTAGGGCACGCACTCACTCCGGCGGCGTGTGTGTTCCTTCTTCTTTTAGATTGCAGAGGCGACGTTGACGATAAATGTATGGACCGTTCGACGAGTCTGAAAGAAGATTTCGCTGAAGATTCGGTAGAAATGGGTAAGAAACTGCTGAAATCTCGTTTCTCGTTAAATATTATTATGCCACATAACGACACGTTGTATTACGAATCAATATGGTTAAAAAAAAAATGCTATTATGGTGTGTGTGTGTGTACAATAACACTTTTTTACAATATCGTTTACTTTGCGTTACTGGTGGCAATACGTAGACCATAATTATATAATAATAATCTGCCTGGAGGCGTTCGCGGCTCGGGTGTATTAGTGGGTTAAGTTTTCAAAAAAAAAAACGATCGACGAGAGAAGAACGAAGTTCCGATCTGATCCACGCGTTCTCTTTGTTCGAACCCGACGGTGAAACAATATCGTAATTTATAATAATCATTACAATAATGTTTAGTAATTATTTGGATTATGATTGCGGTTAACATGCGTAGTGATATGCCTAAATAATAAAATTGTCGGTCTGCCTGCCGCATAATACTGTGTGACTGTCGTTGACTCGTTGTACAACAATATTCAACATCGTATAATTTATGATATTATTATGTTTGTTTCGTCAGCCTTACGTCGTTCACGCGCATGCGCACAACGCACACGTCCCAAGCCGGTCTGTTAAAGAACGACGACGACAACGCAGTTTCGTCAATAAATATCATTATATCATAATTATAATTAACACGCGATTTTATGATCACTCTGATCAATTGTGACTATTATTGACGATTGATAACGTTTGATACCGTCTTTGTGGTTTTTCGGTACACTGTACTAAGTGTACCAAGTTAAATTTAACACGTTGCATCTACCTCGGCGCTCGAATATTGTGTTACTATTGTAACGAWAAATATACGTAAAACAATGTAATGTTCYCAAGGAAATGATTCCGCTTATCGATTATTATTATAGTGGACAGTTTACGATATTTTAAAGTAAATAATGTCTGTCAAACACATTTTTAACGAATCCATTATAAAATAATAATATTAAAGTTGTATTAAATTTTAACGATTAGTGGCGAAAACGTGTCAATAATTAACTAATACTATTCAATACTATTTTGATCACCTAGCGCTGTAATGCGAGTACGTTTACACTTAGTGTCGTCGTATTTATAATTATTATAATGATGTTGGTAATGCACTAATAAGCTTCTCCTACCTAACACAACAATAGCCGACAGGTAGAAACATTTCGGTTTCATAAASGCTTAAAATAATTAATGACGAAAAATTCCATTGAGTTTTGTTAAAAACTTATATTATTAGATATACCTAACTATATAAGATAAAACCTTATGTTGACTACAATTATTATTATTATTATTATTATTATTATAGGTATAAATAATATATAAATATGTTTAATGATAATAATATTACCGGCTTGGTAACAACTTAAAGATATGCAATTTACATTTTAATCTGATATTTACGTATAACCGACCGACTGGTTTAATAGTACGCAATTGCTATGTTAAATAACCGTCTAATGAATTGCACAATTATAACCGTCTATAAAAGTCTTGTTGATAAATATTAAAAACGTCGTTTCCCTTTTATTGTAATATAACTAATAAGTAAAATATCAGTAAAAATAATAGCGTATAATATAGTTTATTGGTGAAAAATAAAAAACCACGTGTATATTACAGAGCGTTGTGGCTTCCATAACCTCACCATGATTAGCAATAATTACGCATACATTTTAGTTAATAGTAAATTTAAATTATATTAGTTTTTATGCCATCCTTCCTTTCTTGTAGACATTAGCTATACAAATTATTACACTTCATAATATATAATATATTAATATACATGTATACTTAACGATTATCGAACACTTACATTTACTTTCAAACATTCAATCCGGGATTAACATACTGTAAACGAGGTAGGCATATTATGCCTAGGGCTAACAAATGAAGTTTTTTTCGAGTAATAAATATTAATAGTAGGTGCACCAAAAATAAACATACTATTTAAAAATAAAAAATTGTGTAGTTGTTTATAATTTTGGCTAAATCATATCAATCCACAATAATTATTATATTCTATTTCATAGCAATGCCTAAAGCCTGAAAGTAATCAGCAGTGGTAACGGTTAAACAGTAACCGTGGTCTTTAATAAAATGTTGTGGTACATTGTTATCAAACATTAGATAAAATTAAAAAATTAAAATCTTATTAACAAATAACATAATTCATTATCCATTATGCTTAGGTATATAATATATAATACAATATWAACATGGTACTTKCAAATTAGTTGCAATCCATTCAGATGGAACAACTTCATTAACAATTTAAAAAGATTTACTAAATAGGTAAATCCAGAAAGGTTACCATTGGGTTTTGATGAAGTACCAAAATATGACTTTTAATAGGTCACAAAAAGCTAGAACATAGGTATTTAGGATAAAAATATGATTTATAATATGTATTGTGTACCTATGTTTTTTCACATATATTTATAGTGTAGARATTACATATATTTCACACTATATATACATATTTTTTAAATACAAAGTATACATTTTAATAAAACTTGTAATTTATAAAAAATTGAAAATTCTTAAGATTTTATATAATATGTTGTATGTATCAAATTGAATTATGTGGGCTTACTTACTAACAGCCTATTAAAAATATCTGTCTATTATCCGGCTCTGCAACCATACAAAACATCACAATGAAATCACAATACATGATACATAGTAATTAAACACAATAACACAATAATTATCGTCTTAATGGGATTGGAAGCGGCGTTATTCTATCTTTGTCTAACACATATACAACATAGGATTATAGACGTGTTCTATGTCCAACGTAGTACTTACCGATTGTTGTAATCAAGCGATAAGAATTCTGAAAACAGATTTGAATTTGTCGTCAAATCTTTTTGAGATCCACTTTCCCACATCATTGATTTTTTAATTTAATCTTCTCCAAAAATTAAAATATGTCAATTTTTTAATTACTCTGTTTCAATGTATCGTTTTTAGGATTTTGAGAGATAATATCAAATATGTGGGACGATCTCATGAACACTCGACGAAAAATTCAAATCTGCTTTCATAAATCTCATCGCTTCATCATATCAATCTGTAGTTTTKACATAAAACACGTCTATATAATCCTATGATGTACGTGTGTKAGAYAAGGACAGAAAATCGCCGTTTCCAATCCCCTTAAAATCGAAATACTCGACAAACATTCCGATTGTTATTTATCATAKAATGATAAATTCTGATGTGCGTGTGTCGTTTACTCATGTGTATGCCGTGTTACCGTTTGCTTACACGATAGTATTATGTGGTTTGAGAAAAAATGCCAATTCGGCAATGCTTTATCGGTGAATATATGTGCGGCAAATTTATGGAAATCGCTGTGTAATAAATGAGATTAAGTGATTAGTACCGGAGAAAAAATATTTTTTATAATTCCTTCTYACCAGCCTTAGTCGTCGACTAGACACTATAATATTATGACAAAGATTTTRATTATTATGTATTGAGGTCATTACTCATTTGACGAAGACAAATATTTTTATGCAAATACTAAATAATACGTCGAAAGCATTAATTAATAGCTATTAAAAAATAACATCAAACCCGATACAAGTAGGTACACTAAGGATGTCGTTTTTCTGTTAAGCTAGTTACACACAGACACAGAGCGGTTTGGCCTCGCACGGTCGCTGTTTTTATGCACAACGGTTTAAAACCGCGTCMGCCGTTTTGTTTAAACACTAACTACGAGCAGTTATTTTTGGCGCCAAATTTAACAATAGTCAAATTATTGTACATAAAATAAAGTGAATATTGGCGCGCGCTGAATTAAATAACTTTCAGTTGTTTCAAACACCATGGTATAGGTAAGAYTTTTGTATTGGATTTTAGCTCTCAAGAGTTAACATACATTTACTTGCATAATGGACATATTTTTCCTTAATTTTTCTTTTGTTTTTTCACGGCGCTTTTAAAATACTACTGAGAAATTTTTACTTTCGACTCCCCAAATTACCAACTAGATTCACTTTCCTATCAGAAAAGCTACTATTAAAGATAATCTAAGCATTTTTACTACACTAAAAGGTGATGACAGTCACAAAAAGATGTTAGATGGGAATTAACGTTATCCACCGGTTATCAACGTTACTTACCAAATGCACAGGTAATTATCGTTATAAACCGGATAATCACGTAAATGACCAAATATACAGGTAACTGTTGTTATAGACCAGTTATAGACTAGTAAATTACGTCCTTCGTGTCGGCTCGTCAGTGCGGGGTGACTTGTATGATCGTAGTGTCCACAACTGGTAGAAGGTAAGAGGTTCGTAACAATCTCCCTATCCGTTGTAGAGTGACCGGATTAATGATAAGAGATAGTGACGTTTGGTCGTTCAGAATATTATTTTAATGATTAACGGTAAGAGGTTCGTCTAACTCTCCAGAACTATTAGTCTATTAATATCCAGAACGATATAAAATAATATTAAAAACGACAACTGTAAGATCATATACTACGCCAGTAAGATATTCACAAAAAAGTCATGGAATAGTACGAACTACGAGTAGACCGAACCGTTGTGCCAATTAAGATTGGGAAGGTTTTTGGTGACGGTGACCTATCGGAGCGGTCGTAGCTTAATTACCGTCTTCCCCGGTCGTCTCGGATATTTAGAAGCTTATTTTGTCATACTCGGTAGTTTATGTTATAAGGTGGTATTTTTAGGCCGTACAGTGCCGTAATCTTGATGGTTGTTTTTATGAGTATCGATTTATATGATGAGTGTCATTGATTGCATGCGATACCGCCCACGTGTACCGTAACTGTTGCGGTATTGCAAGTGGTACAAACGTATAGCGCGGTGCGCGCCATCTGTAGCGCCGGGAATCATCTGTAATGATATGCATACAATCATGATATGTGAGCATATCATTTCACATCTGATGCGTCGTTTGCGTCCGTTTATAGCCGAATTCGTATCAACTTTTCGGTGGCTATGTGACTTGCTATAGTCACCACG